AAAAGAGCTTGCACACTGTTTAGGTTGCTGTTGGACATTATCTGCTATGGTTGCCATGCAGACACTACATACTTAAAGTCCTACTCTCAGATACATTTAGCATGTGTTTTAGTGCATCAACCGGGCCTGATATACATATCTTAAAGAGATTTTGTTATAGTGGTCTGCAATTTATCACATTCCAATAGATTGCCAAGCTCTTTCGATTAATGATCATGATTACCTAAAGACTGAATGAATATGATGATATGATTTTGTTGACTGATTTTTATGACTGAAGATGATGAAGCGTCATTCCTGTTATCTAGGCCAGTAGATGACAACATTTGCTCTTTTTTCAGAACATCTGTCTCCACTTGAGAAAGCACACTATGTTCTGAAAATGAAAACAGTTCATACCAAGCGTTTACTCACATCATTGCCAAGTTGCTTATCAGAACTATCAATGTCTCGCAGCTTCTTTTAAACTGCTGTTATTGACAACAGTTTCCTTGAAGTGGATGTAGAAACCTGGCTGAATGCTGCATCATTTAAGATTGCAAAATCAGTTGTAAAGTAGTTAGTGTGTGTCAATGGTTGCGCAGAGTAGCGCTTATCCAGACATTCCATGAATCAGTTACCAAGAATGAGGAACAAAAACAGTATCTGTTGCAAGTGTTTGAAAAACACAGAAATGACTTTTTACACTGCAGCTGTGACAATCTTGTAGATATGTATACATATCTACAAGATTGTCACAGCTTATATTATTCAAAATGCAAGTAACATTGTAAATATGTGGAAACTGTTCTGTAACTGAGTATTAGTTATTACTCATTTTTTATGATTTTATCTAAATTACTGTTTTGAACCCTACCACCTGATGCAGTAAAACATTATATGTGTAGAATGTACGCATTGAGACCTTTTTAATGATACTAAACACACCAAGATAAGTTGAATAGCAACTTCATAAACCTCCCATGAAAATCAATGCATTGAGCTCTATTTACATTAACAGTTAATAATTTCAAGGACCTTGCTTGACCTCTAAATATTATCCAAATTTTATAAAGTTTTGCAGGTGATATCATGTGACCATAACAAAACATTTAGGAGGGTAAGACCTGACATTTTCCAAAAAAAAAATTTTGGACACCTTAAGTAACATATCTTATGGACATTAGTGCTAAATTAGAAGATCTTGCAGATGTATTAACTATTGTAAATTTTTACACCAATACAAGCCTTCCCAGGGACAAGTGTGGTTTTTCATCTTGTATGTCCACACATAATTATTTTATTTTAGACAACTTGGTTACGGCCATTTGCAAGTTTTTATGTTGCAATATGGAAAAAATTAAGATTCAAAATTTACAAAATAGGAAATCAAAATAAATTTAGATAAAACAAATTAAAATTTTTTAATTATTTAAATAATTTGTGCACTGTTTTTATTTTTTGTTTCTTTAAGATGGTTGTTATTTTCAGCAACAAAATTGGATAAGGCAAAGCAAAAACAAAGCAGTTTTAAGTTGACATTAAAAATAATGAGTTTCTTTGATTTTATTCGTTTTTTCTAAAGAGAAAAGTGAAAATATAAATTGCTATCTGTTTGCATATAATTAAATTTTTTGTCCCTACATGAATACGTCTGTGTAATGCATGCATATATTTTTATGTATAACTTTTCTTACTATAAAATTGTATTTATTTGTATATTAGTAAACCCACATTTAGCTTATTTAGATAAGGTCTTTATTTAAAAAATGGAATATTTGCGGTTTGAATCCCACCACTATCCAGTTTTTTTTGTTTTTTACCCGTCTTCTCCCATTTGGTCTTCTATGTTATAAGTGAAATACTTGTAAACAATTAAATTCTTAATTAATAATTGTATAACAGTTATTATTAATAATTGTTTACGTATATTTTACTATATTCATAGCAGATGAGGGAGGGGGCAGGTAGAACTAAGCGCTCTGAGATAAATGTTAAAAAGCAACAGGTATCCAAAAAGGTAATATGAAACAATTATATATCATGTTTTTTGATTAAGATTTTCTACTCATTGGATAATTGATTTTTTTGTATTTAATTACAATTTTATGTATTTTTTTTCATTTAGGAATTCTTTTTTATTTATCAACAAACTATGTTTACTACCACAAAAATTTCTTATAAAATTGCAATCAAAAATCTTTTTTTTGCTACCTTATTGCCAATAATTTTGCTATTGATGACTTAAATGCTGATCACACATGATGGCTTGACTTTAACACCATTGTCCCTGCTGGCACTAAAGCCCATATTTTTGTATTTCTTAATTTCTTTCTTGGTTAGCTAACTTTGTGACTCGTTTTTCAGACAACCCTAATCACTTACTTTTACTCCTTGGTTTGTTTTTTGTCTCTGACCTTAGCTTGTGTTTAGTTTCTCCTTGTTTACCTTCAAGTAGTTTTAACTATGCAATGATCTCTATAAATCTTTTATCTTGTACTTCTTCTTTAGACTTCTATCATCATACTACTTACTACTATCTTAGAGCTCACTAGGATTCAAACTAGTGATTTTGAACTGAAGTTTTTCTCTTCAGTGATGAATACCTCTCCTTAATTAATGCTTCTATTTATTGTGCATGCCATCTTCTTACTTTTGATTCCATTCTCTACCTCTACAAAATTCTTGTCACTGTATGGAACACTGTTGCTATATTTGTACTATTTGGTTCTTTTAATGATGCTCTTTCTCTTCTAAACAAGGTCACATTGTAAACGTAGTTGCACCAGCTTTATTAAGCTTGAGTCTCTTTCATTGTTGTAAAGTTGCATCTCTTTCTCTTTTCTACAAATACTAGCATGGTCACTGCTCAAAGGAGCTATCAAAATATATATATTAACTACTATACTAAATCTAAACAAAATATATAACTTCAAAATTTTTTAACAAATGTAAGGATGAAATTTGTTTTAGGGTAAAACCCTAATTAGTAATTTTATAACAGAAAAAGGATGATTTGTAAGGTTAAAATTAACCTTCTAAGCAGAAGTATTATGATAAAACAACTTATGTCTTTTGTAAATATCTAATTAAATAACTTTTTCCAAAAAGTTTTTAATTCACTTGTTTTCTTAATCTGTTTAAAAACCTGTTTATTTTTAATAATCTGTTTATTTATAAAACAAACACAACTTGTCTTGGTGGTTGCACAATTTGTATTGGCACTTAGGTATCCCTCTAATATATCATTAGAAAACAGTTTTTTTACCTTAATTTTTTTTTTTTTTAACGTAAGACAACAGTCATCTAGAGTTGTGCAATTGTTTGTACTTTAATGGGTGATGCGTAAGTTATCAAACTAAATAAATACATCAATAATTTATTTATAAATAAAAAAAAAAACTATTGTTATTATTTTTTTTTAAATATTGTGTTTATCTTTTAATAAAAATAAGTTATTTTTTAAATAAAAAAATATCACCATCTGCAATTAATCTTAATTTAGCTCTAACGTCATTCATAAGCTACTGTAAAAAGTTTAAATTGATTTTTTGTAGTTTTAATTTAATTTGATCAATCAAAACTTGCTCTGTTGAAGCTTTCCAATCTCCCTCATAAACCTTCTGTGCCTAATGCTCAAAAGTTTTCAATTGGTTGTGTTTAAGGCACATTTGGGGGATTGGATTCTTTATCAACGTAATAGACATCCAATCGTAATGGTCCATTCAATTTAATGAATCTTTAGAATAATGAGAACTTGTTAAATGTTAAATGAATAGTTAAAGTATCCATAATACTTGTGAATGAAAGGAAGATGTTGTTTTACTAAACATTTGTCAATATAGGTCAATGAATTAATTGCTACAGCCTTAGAAGTGCAAAACAATGGCTCGGACATACCACAGTCAGAAATCCACATTTATATTTTTTTGGAAATTTCTCTTTTCCTATAAAACAAAACACTTTCTGGGCATGTTTTTTTGTTGTTTATTTAGTATACCAAATTTCCAGACATGTTCTCCTGCAAAACAAAAGTATTTTTCTCATTGATGACCAGAAGTGATTTTGTGTTATAGAATTGGTTAAGTAGTTACCTTTTTTTTTTCTTTGCCTTCAATTGTTGTTTTCACATTTTCTATATTTAATACTCATTTTATTTAACTGACGACCATATTGTCAATTTGTTTTTTACATATTTTTTAATCATATTTTTATATATGTTTTCAATTGATATTTATCTGACGACTATATTGTCAATTGGTTTACACGAAATTTAAAACCTATTTTTCTCTGACTGATTCCTTTTTGATTGGGTATAAGTCTCATTAATTCAGCTTTCTTTTCTCTAGTCAAGGATGTTGAACGACTAGGGTGTATTCTATCAGATAAAGATTGAACAGTTTCAAGTCTTTTTAGGTATCATATATTGTACTTAGAGCAAATCTTTCCTTTTCAAAATGATTTACAATTTATTTTTTACTTATATTGGGTTTAATTACAAAAAATAGTTGAGGTTGCTTTCAAAAAGATTCTTGTTCAGCGGCATGTAACATCAGTTTAAGTAATTGTGTTTCAAATAATAAAGTTTATATTTTATAGAACATTTATGCCTATGCATAAAACTACAAAAACCAATTATTATGCTCAAATACTTCAAAAAATTCAGATTTTTCCGATAACTTCTGCATCTCCCGTTATTTGTGAATAATATCCTTAATTTTCTCAAGAACATCTTCCTTCAAAGAATAAGTTTCTACCTATATTGTATTGTACTGCTGAGACTGAATTGGCAAGAATGTTGTAGATTTAAATTAAGCATTCTACCTATGCACCACTACCACTTTTACTGATTATAAATAACTCTTTTGTAGTAATAAACGTTTCCATTATATGGTTGTGTTAATAGCCATATTAAATTATAAAGAATTATAATAAATTAGGAATGTTTATACTATGTTAGCATATGAAGATAATTTATTAAATTGCATTATGTTTTTTTAATGACAATTTTTTTAAAAAAGGTAATTTGACTGATTGGAGCCAGTGGAGTGCATGCTCTAGTACTTGCAAGACTATCAGTGATGGACCTTACCAATACAGGAACAGGTCTTGTGTTGGTTATTCTACTTGGAATGTTAAGGATGTACCTTGTAATGGCAGCAATATAACTGATCAAAAATTTTGCAATCAAAATGTACCTTGTTTAGGTATATTTTTTTGTAAACATTAAATTTATATAATTACTTTTTAAGATGTGTATATTTTTTTAATATTTATTTATAAATTTTTTTATATTTATTTGTATGTTCTGATGTTTAAAAATAATGTTAATAGTATGTTTTTTTTTTAATTGTTTTTTTGGTGAATTAATTAAAAAGGTGAATTAATTTAAAACTGTTTAAAGATTTTTAAATCTAAATCATGTTATTATATAAAATATCTAATTATTTTATATTATATTGATCAAGTTATATATATAATAGTTTTATTAATTAAATGTAAGTATAGTGCTAGGAGTAAATGAAGCAGTTGTCCAGCATTATATCAATATACTTCTAAAGATTTTATAACTCTAATTTGCAGTAGGATTTGTATTTCTTGTATTTTAAGTTAAATTTGAGTTGGTTTTTTTTGGTATACTTGTTTGGTAATTTAATATCCATTGATCAGGTGGTCTTTGCACTCATTAGTTGGTTGTATATGTGTATACAAAGTGATGCAGAGATTTTAAGTCAATCAGATTTTTGCAGAATCTGATAATGAGTATTAAGAGCAAATTAATCAGGTTTTAATTATCTGCTATTCTTAATAGAGGTTTCAAGAAATCTTTCTTTTTCTATTTTTTAACTGTTGTGGAACTCGCTGTTTTTTTTATTGTTGAGTAGTTTGCAAAAAAAGTTTTTTTGTTTGATGATTAGCTTATTTATTTTTTCTGCTGTCTTCTTCTTTTCCTATATGAAGCAACTTCATTTATTTGTTGCTTATTTATATTTGCTTAGTTTTTATTTATTAAAGTTTAAATTTGGGTGTTGACCAAGATTTGGCGTAAAAAAATGTTTAGTTTTTTAAAGTTTTGCACAAATCTTTTAATTGGTGCATGCAGATTCGGTCTAAAAATTTATGTTTTATTAAAAATACTTTTTTTTTATTTTATTTTGTTAATTCACTTAGGGTTCGCACTATTATAATAGATATTGTAAAAATTAAATACAAGAATGCATTACAATACAACAATATTGTATTTTAATAACAGAGATGTATTTAAAACATTACTTATGGTTATTGTATTGCTGTAATTAAAAACAGTTACAATAGCTATTGTATTGTTGTTTTGTTTTTACAATACATTGGAGTTCTAAAACTATTGTATTGTATTGCTGTAATTAAAAACAGTTACAATAACTATTGTATTGTATTGCTGGGTTAAAAAGCAATAACAATAAGTACTGTGGTATATTGTATTACTATTTCAAAGTCCAGTAGCTATTGTATTTTAAAGTATTTAGATTATTTTTATGCGCATTTATTAGTATTTGGGCACTAGAAAATTCAGAGGTGCCTGTGACGCTCGTTTTTAGCAGTCATTTTTGTATATATATATAAATATTATTTATTTTGAGAAGTGAAGTGAAGCTAGGAAAGCCAAAGAAGTATACATGTTACATATACTTAATAAATATTAAGTTCAGGGGTGCTCGTGGCACCCGTTTTTAGCAAACTCTTACATATATAAATTTTATTTATTTTGAGTTCAATAATATAACTGTTTATATAATAATTTATTTAGAATTAACATTAGTAATATTCATTCAAAATCATACAAATATATAATTTATCATATGCTTGTAATTAAATAATTAATTACTTAGTGAAGTGAAATTTTTGATTTTTTTATAATTTTGTCTAAACTGATATTAAAATGTTTCATCGGATGATGATGTCTAAACTAATTGATTAACTACATTAAGCGCATGAAAATAATTTTTTTTTTCATTATAATTTATTGCTAATGAGTAATAAATTACAGCGTTATGAAATCAGAGAACCATTGACCTAGGTAATTATTATTTTATTTTTTTTAACAATCTGAAAATGTAGAAAAAAATTTGTTTTCAGGTTGTTCATCACCTATCAGACTGTACCAGTAAATTATGTGGGGGTCTTTTTAGAAAAATGAGGCAATTTAGATAATGCCAAATATTGTACTTGATTTATGTAACAAAATTCTTTTATAATTTTGCAACTAGATATCAAGTTACTTTATGAAACACATACAGCCATAAAAGCTTCAGGGAAACAAAAGACAAAGTTATATTAAAATAAGTGTTAATTGAGTAAGTTTCAAAACAATTGGATTGGTGTCTAATGTAAATTCTTTTATAATTTTGCAACTAGATATCAAGTTACTTTATGAAACACATACAGCCATAAAAGCCTCAGGGAAACAAAAGATAAAGTTATATTAAAATAAGTGTTAGATGAGTAAGTTTCGAAACAATTGGATTGGTGTCTAATGTAAAAAGCAAATAACTAAGTGGAAGAAATGGTAGTAATTAATCAGGTCTATCCCTAGCAGTAAAAGAAGTACAGGTCAGATCAAACTCACTTTTATAGAGAGCTCTATAATGACTCACTACAATAACAATAAATATTGTATTGTAATTTGTCTTTATAATACAATAAAAATTTGTTATTGTAATACAAAAAATTGTCTTAATGTCAAAATTTAATGTTTTAACAGTCCAGTCTCTGAGATATGTGACCTTGAAATAGGGTACAACTAATATATAAATATTGATTCTTTTTGGTTTTTCATTTACTGAATATAACTTGTCCTTGTTGCAAACTTTATATAGAGCTATATAAAGTTTGCAACAAGGACAAGTTATATTCAGTAAATAAAATAGAAAAAGAATCAATAATTATATATTAGTTGTACCCTATTTCAAGGTCACATATCTCAGAGACTGGACTGTTAAAACGTTAAATTTTGACATTAAAACAATTTTTTTTATTACAATAACAACAAATTTTTATTGTATTATAAAGACAAATTACAATACAATATTTATTGTTATTGTAGGGGATCATTACAATACTTTTTTTTTTCAGATATTGTTATAGTATTATGAAGATGAATTGCAATACAATATTTAGTGTTATTGTATTACAGTATTAAAATAATTGTAAATCACAAGTATTATTATTGTTTCTAAAAAAGTTAATACAATAACAATAGTTATTGTTTCTGTTATTGTTTTCATTACAATTACAATAGTCCTAGGCCACTACAAACGAGGAGGCTTCCTGATACTATATTTATAGGGTTATAACTGTGGTTATAGCCCTCTCTCAACTCCATAACTCTGAAACACAAACTTTGACAAACATGGCTGCTGTGTAGAGAAATAAGATGAGCATGGTACTACTAGGGATATAATGGGAATTGAATTCAGAACCTCTTGCTTATGATGCAAGTACTCTATTATGACACCACTTCTGCAGTTATAATTTAAAACAATATCATAAGCTTTTTTGTTTTTAAGGTGATTTTTATATATTTAACAAAATTTGCTTCAAAGTTTTCAAAAACTTTTTTTTTTACTATGTTTTTAATATTCTTCTTGATACATAAAACAAAATTTTGCTAATATTTTTCAATTTAATAAAGTTGTTGTCTAAATTTAATATATGAAGGTTTTTTTTCAATAAAGGTAATTATAGTACTTGGAGTAATTGGAGTATTTGTTCAGCATCATGCCAGCTTACTTTTCAAAATTTTCCAATTCAATCACGCAGAAGGATTTGTGAAGGTGATACTTTAGGTGGGGGTTGTGTTGGCCCAAGTTATGAATCTTTACCATGTAACAATAATATATCTTGTCCAGGTAATGAATTTTTTTCAGTAAGAAATTTATTTAAATTAATTTTTAAAAATTAAAAAACTTATTTTTCTATAATAATGATAAATTATTAATTAAAAAACAAATGGAATTAGCAAATATAAAAAGTATTTTAAAAAAACGTTTTGTTTTCATCCATAAACAAAGTATACATAAACCATGATATGAACCTTTAACATATTTGGAAAATAATTTGCACTTAGATACTTTTGTCAATAATAGATTTAACTGTCATGGTTTTATTACATAAGTATCAAAGGATCCCCAGGAAATCAATATTATAGAATACACTTGCTTATGCATATGCTATAAGATTGTTTTATGTACCACGATGTGGTGCAAATTATGCTCTATAACAAAATGTGGTGTGTGTAGCTATTGTTCTACTCAAACTTAAATTCACAACATAATTTTATTGTGGCTTTCACATTTAAAGTTTTAAAATGAAATCCTTATTAACTAAAGGGCCATCAATAAAGGATGTCAGTAGATATAGGCAGTGAAAGTAGTGCTGAAAACTCAGACTATAATAGTTGACAATAAGAAAGTGGATTGTTGAGACCAAGTGTTTTTCAATTCAAACAAATTTTTTTATTCAAAGTTTATATACCGTATATGAGTAGGTTTTAAATGTGTTTACACATCCAGTGTGATAAAAAAATTGTGCTAGAAATTTATTTTGAGTTTATTCTGATTGAGATTTAAATATTACTGAAAAATCCATTAAAGAAATTAATGTAATGTAATGTAAAAAATAATTACAATAAAAGTTCTAAACCAAATTAATATCTTTAAAATCAACAATTTATGTCATGATTTTTATGTCAATTTTGGGGAAGAAATATTAATATAGGTTGGGGTTAGCCAAAAATTGAAAAAAAGGGTAAGGTGTTGGTAAGGTTTTTCAGTTTTTAAAAAAACTGAAAAATAAAGTAACTAAAAACAATTCCTTCCTGAAACAGAAAATATATTAGCTTTAAAATAAAACTTTAAAAACTTAAACTGAAAACTACTTTTTATTATGTTCTTAATTGCATTTAAAATACAAAAAATAATAAATTTAATTGCTCTTGAAACGATCATTATAATAAATTTTTTGATTATATTTATAGCCTTTGCGTAAAATTGAAATTTTAAAAAAGATCAACAATTAAAAGCTATTCATAATGTAGCAATATTTTTATTGCATTTTAAATTGCCAAAACATCAAAATAGCAATGGTCAAGTTGTAAAGGAAAAAATTATGTGTGGTCAGTTACAGTGTGTAATTGCACGCATTTCTTGTCCAATCCTATATTAGTATATGAATATTTATTTAATAAATGTATTTCTCTAAAGCATGGCCTAAAGTATTTTATTTTTCTGATATTTTTAAAATATTATTTGTGTTGTTTTTTCATTTGTAACATATTCTGTTCCTAATAATAACTAATAATTATCCTTAAAAAAGACACTTTATACTTTCTTTTAGAATAAAAAAAAATAAAAAGTGCAAAGCACTTCTTACTTTCTTTTAAAATAACAATTATCTTGAAAGAAAAAAAAAAGTGCTTTGACATTCCTTAAGCACAGGCTGTTTATAAAAAATCTTATAAGGTTTAGCTTGCACACTGTTTCATTTTTCTTTAACTACATATATATATACATATATGTATGTATGTGTATATATATATATATATATATATATATATATATATATATATATATATATATATATATATATATATATATATATATATATATATATATATATATATATATATATATATATATATGTAAATACATTTATATATATATATGTGTGTGTGTGTGTGTGTGTGTGTATATATATATATATATATATATATATATATATATATATATATATATATATATATATATATATATATATATATATTATATATATATATATATATATATATATATATATATATATATATATATATATATATATATATATATATATATATTTATATTTATATATACTAGATGTCATGACCTGTAAAACATGGGTCTTGGTAAATCCATTCCACACTGACCTTTTCTATACTTATTCCTTACTTCATTATATTTTAGTAGGATGTAGAAAAATAATTAAATACATATATAATAACAATACTTATTGTTTACTTTTTAAAGCTATAAGATAAACTTTCTATTATATTTAACTTTAAAAAACTTTTAACGTTTTTGTAGACGTTGCGCAAATCGCTATTTATCAACAAATCGGATACCAGTACCAGCCTAAATAATATTTAGAACACCTGCTTGATATTAAATACCAATAGGCAGGCCTTGGCGGGAATAAATGAGCACAAGAGCAGAGAAAAGCTCTCCTAAAACGAACTTGGGGAGCTGTGCAAGCTGCTCCTCATATGAATCGGTGCTCTTTTTAACTTTATTTTTTTTTTGCAACAACCCGGCTTTTTAAAATCAGTGCAGTATATTATGCAATTATTTTTTTTTATAAATGACATTGTGTTTTTTGTTTTAATTACAACCATAATTATACTTTTGTAAGAACAATTATACTTTTGTGAGAGCCGTAAATTGCTCCCGTAAACCATTTTAGAAAAGTGTGGGCGAAAGCGAGAGCTAAAGCTCTCGCTTCTTGCTGAGGCCTGCCAATAGTATGAAAAATTACAAAAAACATGAGATGACATGAAATAACTGAGCTACCATGACCTGTATGATTATTACTGAATATAAATATATTACTGGTCATGGTAAATCTATTCCACACCTACCATTTAAAGAATTTCATTTTATTTCAATAATTTTTAAAAAAGACCAAAATATAAAAATCTTTGTTTTGAGTTAAAGAATAACTCTCAATACTTTACAACTTCTATATATATACATATATATTTATAAATATATATATATATATATATATATATATATATATATATATATATATATATATATATATATACACATTCCATACATCATCCAGGTTATTTTATGAAAATGTGAAAAATGAAAAACAGGTCAGGTCAGGTTTATCCTGCTACTGGTAACATGTAACCCAGTACAATCTGCTTCATGTCCTGCTGCCTTGTAGGATATGCCTTTTTAGGCAAAGGCTAGGAGATGCAAACTCCGACATTAAACACCCCCTGTCTTGGGGCTCTTGGTTAAGTAAAGGCTAGAGATGGTGTCTCAATAAAAATACTCATCTTGGGCAGATGTTAAATGCATCTGGTTGCTGTATTGTAGAAGGCCTCCTAGGCAAAGACTTAAGGGGTAAACAGATTCTATCTGTTGACCAGCCTCGAACCCCTTCTCCATCTATTAGGCTGGTGCAGATGTATTTTTAATACATTGTTTCCAGTTTAGGATGTTGAACGCTGGATCTTTTTGACTCGATGCATGGGTTTTGCTTGTGTATCTGTTTTTATGACTAGGCAACTCATTCTATTATCTCCAAATGAGGGTACAGCTCTAAAACTCAGTTTTATGGTTCTGAGGCCAGCTGGTACTCAGGTTTCCCGAACTCTGTGGTAGCTCTCGGAGAGGCTGATTCCATCAACAGCTGAAAAATATCAGAGTACTAACAGTGCCATGTTGCGCATTGATGGTGTCCCTGTTTGTACTTTTGGTGTGCATTGCCAAGGCAACATTGGAACCCTTTGTTACGGCTTAGGGTTTATTAGTGGAAATAAGGCAATTGCTTGGCCTATATAACAGTGTACTGAGTACTACCTATGTTTTGAGTCAAGTTTTTTAACAAATTTAAAAATGAATAGAGTAACAAAAACTATACAACACAAAAAACCACAGTCATCACCAAGTTCGCTAAATCGATCATTCACCAATATTTGTGGTCTTCGAAGTAACTTTTCTTCTGTTGAGTCTTATCTCTTGCAAAGTTCACTAGGCCTACTTGCTCTTTGTGAGACTAATTTGAGTTTAGCTGTCTCATCTTGTGATCTTAGTGTTGATGGTTATCTTCCTTTAATTCGTAAAGACTCCAATAGTCACATGCTTGGCCTAGGCATTTACATTAGTAAGAATTCACCTATTTGTCGGGAAACTAGATTTGAATCCACAGACTACTCTTTTATGTGCTTTCGTTTAGCACCACTTCACTCTGACACCTTTCTCTTTGTTCTATATCGCTCTCCTTCATATTAAGACTGCACTCTTCTTATACATGTATATATATATATATCGCGAATCGCGAAAAAAAAAAAAGGCCAGGTGAATAAATATGAGCAATTGCTTTTACTCAGTAATTGGTCAGCTTTACGTGAATAAAAACTAAAGGAATTTTTCATAAGTTTTTATTTACGTAAAGATGAACAATTACTAAGTAATTTGCTTAACTTTACGTGAATAAAAATTTGACCAAAACTCCTAATGTTTTTATTCACGTAAAGCTGACCAATTATTGAGTAAAAGCAATTGCTCATATTTATTTACCTGGCCTTTTTTTTTTTTCTGATTTTTCTGATTTTTTCTGATTTTTTCTGAATTTTCAGTTTTTAAACTGATGTTTTCATTCAATTTTTTTTTATTTTATTTGTTTTCCAAAAAAAATGTGAAACAAAAGATTTTGTTTAATAAATCGAATTATATTAAGTATAAGAATATGCTTAAATTATTTTTTTAGTTCTGTTTATTTTACTTCTGTTTTAAAAAAATTTTTTAAACAGAAGTAAAATAATTTGTTAAATTTAATTTAAAATTTTTATAAATTTTATTTTAATTTGCCATTTGCAATCACTGCTTTAATGTTTACAATAGAATGTTTCTACTTTTAAAACTATTTTCAAGAAAAATGTATAATTCAAAACGTAAAAAGACAAAACAAAAAGAAAAATGTATAATTCAAAACGTAAATTTACGATTTAAGAAAAAAGACTTTCTTCTGATATCCCCTGTTTCATCAAACTTTTTTTAAATTTTTAAATTTAAAAAAAACATTTGTTGTTGTTTTATTGCGTTAAAGCAAGCGTGACAGTCGTCTACATATCTTACAAAAGTTTTTGGTTCACATGTACAAATAGTAGCTATATTAAGAGCTTTTCTTTCTATATTCTGTAGAAACGCTTCCGCCATAACAACCATTAAAGACAAACCTATAGGACCTGAATTAGGTATTATTCGGATTTTGTTTTCATATAGAAAATAGCAAATACTCAATAAAAGTTCTATTAATTGGTGTATGTCTACAAGAGATAGTTTAGTTCGAGTCTTCAAGTTGTCTATATCATTATTCAATATATCAATAATAACTGGAATAGCTTCGTCAATGGGTATGGACGGATATAAATTGGCTACATCAAATGAAACTTGAACCTCATTGGGATCTATTTTCCAATGTCTGGCTTCATTAACAAAGCTATTGGAATTAATAAGTCTATTTTTGTTTTTATTTAATGTTGGTTGAATGATATTAACGAGGTAGTCGGATGTTCCATATGGTGGTGTGTTGATTGTTGACACAACAGGGCGCATTGGGTAATCTTTTTCAGGTTTGTGCGCTTATACATTCCATATATTCTAGGTGGTACACAATCTGACGGATACATTTTAAAATATGTAGTTGTGTCTAGTTTACCCTCTTTTCTTAATTTAGATAATTGTTTTTGAAATTTGGTAGTAAGTGTGGGTGTCGGGTCATGATCAATAATTCTGCTATTTTTAATTGTTTCTTCTAATTTAAGAGATGCATCTCTTTGGTATAGTAGTGCAAAACCTGTGCCTTTATCAAAGGGATAAATTTTAATATTGGAATTCATCTTTAATTTTCTTATAGAAATACGTTGTTGTTTAGATAAATTATCTTTTAATCTTAATTTTAATGAATTTGTCAAAATATTAGAACAGTTTTGTCTTGAAGATTCTGCCTGTATTGATTTATCCAATTTTTCAAGTCATAAAGCGCACATTTCAATATTTGTTATAATGTCCATATAAGGGATTTTCTTCTGAAATGGCACAAATTTTGGACCTAGATTTAGAAGTTCTGTTGTTGCTTTATCAAAAATAACATTAGTTAAATTAAGTATAGCAGGTTTAATAACTTGATTAGGAGGATTTATTCTAGGAATATTTTTTATATTCGATGTAGTTTGTAATTTATTGTATTTTTCTTTCATTCCCGTTTTTTTCTTAAGATAATGGTAATTTTTTGATTTGTTAGTTATACTATTAATTAGCTCATAGTCATTTAATCTTACTTTATTATGAAGAAATATATTTAATTCATCAATTAATTTCTTACTTGAGTATAATCTGTGTTTTGCTTCGTTACGAGCATGAACTAATAGTTTATTTCTGTATTCTTTCATGATGTTCTTTGCTTTTTTAGTATATATTGGAGTTTTTATTTGAAATGATTTTGGAGTTATGTTATTTGATATACACTTTTGAAGAAAAACGAGTTGGTTTTTTGCGTTAGCATTTCGTATCTTCAAATCTTGTAACTTTTTGGTATCATCGTAAATCTTTTTGCCTTAAAAAGTAGTAATATAATCTTTAAAAGCCATTTTCTTGTTATACGATAATAATAAAATATGTAAAATTCAATAAAAACGAATGCGTATAAACTTTTTTGAAAATATATATTTGTTTTTATTTTAATATATTTTTTCGATATTTCGCTGATCTATTGTGATCAGCGTCATCAGGTGTAATAAATAAAAATCGTTACAAAGAAAATCGTTGTAATAAAAACTAACCGTTAAAAAGATAACATTAAAAAGAACATAACAAAATACAAAATAGCTTTAAATGTTAACGTCAAATAATCTAACAAAAAATGGCCCCCAAGTTTTTGTCGTCACGTAATCACCATCATCCCTTAAAACTTTTTATCGCTTCCTAGTTTTTGTCGAACTTTAGCTCTGTTTACTTCGAGTGACTCTCGAATTTTCCGAATATGATACTCTGGATCGATTGATATCGTTTTGGGATGTAACCAATCAAATGTACCCTGGCATGATTTGGAATGTTCGGTAGCACCTGAACTGGCCCATTTTCCTTTAACAGTATTTTTCTGGTGTTCAATACATCTCGATATAACTTTCTTCTTAGTTTCTCCAATGTATATAGAATTGCATGAACATTTTAGTTGGTAGATGCCTGGGTTTGTATTTGGAGGAGGTTTTGTCTTATTGTTGCATAAAATATTGTTTAAATTTGGAGCAGATGCAAATATAACTTTTATGTTTTGTTTTCTAAGTTCCTTTCTAAATTTGGGACCAATGATTGGTCATAATATAATATAATATAATATATATATATATATATATATATATATATATATATATATATATATATATATATATATATATATATATATATATATATATATATCATGTTTTAATATGTTGTATACTTACCTTAATATATATAAAAATTTAAGTTAAACATATTTAATGAAAGAAATCAAAACTCTTAAATGTTTTAATGGAGGAGCTATTAGTAAAGCTTGTTTTTTAACAACATTTATTTATCGTCAAAAGCATAAATTGTTAACAAAAAAAACACAGAGTATAACAACATTTAAACACATTTTTTCAACAATATTTTTTCAACACATTTTAGGAATAGGAAGTTTTTTAACAAAATTTATCATAAATAGCATAAATTGTTGACAAAAAAAAACAAAGTATATAACAGTAACAGTATAAAAAATATTTAATGATGTATAAATCTGTTCAATAAAATTTACTTAAAATTATAAATATTAAGAAAATTATAGATATTAAATATATTAAAAAACTTTATATCTTTTCAACATTTCTTACAACACATTCTTACAACATTTCTTTATTCTTCATTCTTACAACAACATTTCATTTTCTTATAACACATTTTTAAAACACATTCTTTTAGCAATTTTTTTAAACACTTTTTATGATTACACTAACTACGAACAGATTTACTTTATGTGTTACATTATGACAATACACCACTTAACTGGTATGGACAACAATCTTGCTCCCAACAAAGCTAAGTCACATTATAGCAAAGAACACCATTGACTAGGTCAAAATTCTTGCTGTAAAGTAAGCCAAGTCACAACAAATTGAATCCATGCAAACAGCATAATAACCACTTGAAACTAAATATATATATATATATATATGTATATATATATATATATATATATATATATATATATATATATATATATATATATATATATATATGTGTGTGTGTGTGTGTGTGTGTGTGTGTGTCTGTGTAAATATAATTATTTATATATATATTTATATATATATATATATATATATATATATATATATATATATATATATATATATATATATATATATATATATATATATATATTATTATATATATTAGGGTGTCCCAAAAAACAACATTTTCGAAAATAATCTGCTCTCACCCCTTAAATGTGTTCTATCTAATGCAAAAACACTAGGTTTAAATTTTATTTGAATAAAAAATACTTTAAGGGGTCCCTTAAGACCCTCAAATATTTAATGGGTCCCTTATATTTTTGAAAAAAAAGTTTTTCAAAAATATGTCAACCTGGTACTCAAATGAAGCGAAATTATATAAAAATTTTAAAAATAATATTCATTTCGAAACAAAATTGTTATTTTTGGTTTTATTACATAAAAAATTGTGTTTTTTAAGAAAAAATGAAAAAAATGCATTTCTAATGGTTTTTTATGATAATTTTGATAAATAAGTTAAAAATATTTTGAAATGAATATTATTTTTGAAATATTTATATAAACAATAATATGAATATAAATATGAATACGAGTTTTCATAAATAGTTGTTTTAATTTTCTTTTTCTCTTCAAATTTTATTTTATACTGATTTTCTTCCAAAAAGACAGACAGCTGGTATCAAATCAGGAGTTACTAAGATTATAAAAAAAAAAAAAAACTGAGAGCTAAGAATTTATTATCATAAACTTTGAAAGTTGCATTTTATTAAAATCATTAATTTCAAAATCATTAATTCCAATTCCAAAATTTGATGTTCTATATTGTCTAATTTATTATCTAGAAAATTGTTTTTTTAGACAAAGAAAAGATTATTTAGACTTGCACAATGACCTTCTTCCTTTTTTGTGAATTGTATCCTCAATTAGTACAATAAATTTTTTTTTTTTTTTCAAATTTCCAACTTAAGTTTTTACTGCCAGAAATGTGGTCGGTTTAAACTTGGCACTTTGTGTAATCAAGTATTCTATCTATGCATCATCCCAATTTTTACAGATTAACTCATTTGAATTGATATATCAATCATGTAAATGCGTCAATTGTCATATTAAAAATATAAGTTAAAATTAATTAAGATAATATGTAATATGTTAAGATATTAAAATAATGTATTCTGTTATAGTTGTATAAATAAATAATTAAGGTAGTGTAAAATATTAAGTGTATCTGTTAGGTAATGTTTTTTGAATTACTTTTTTTATGTTAAAAGGTAATTTAACTGATTGGGGCCAGTGGAGTACATGTTCTAGTACTTGTAAAGCTATCAGTGATGGACCTTACCAGTACAGGAACAGATCTTGTGTTGGTTATTCTATGTGGAATATTAAGGATGTACCCTGTAATGGCAGTAACACATCTGATCAACAATTTTGCAATCAAAATGTACCTTGTTTAGGTATAACTTTTTGTTAATATTTTTATATTTAAATTTATACAAATACTTTTGTTAGATAAATTTTGATGTTATATTAGAAAATAATATTGTTTGTATGTTGTTTTTGTTTTTTAATTTTAGGTAAATTGTTTTTTTATTTTAAAATAATATTTTTAAGGCATATTCAAGCATATATATTATAGTTTTATTAATTAATTGTATTTATAGTGCTAGGAATAATTGAAGCCGTTGTTCAGCATTACTTTACTTCTCAAGATTTTTAAGTCTAATTTGCAGATTTGCAGTAAGATGATATTTTAAGTTAAGGTTTCTTGTTTTTAGTATATTAGTTATGTAAGTTCCATTAATCAGGTTGATTCATTCGTTAGTTGTTTAATGCAAATACAAAATGATGCAGAGATTTTTAGGCAATCAGATTTTTGTAGAATTTTTGTAGAAAGGTTATCAAGAGAAGTTGTTCAAGTTTCTTGATATATATGCTATTCAAGATTCTTGATATATATGCTATTGCTAATAAAGGTTTTAAGGAGTATTTAATATTTATTGTACAGTGGTGGCCAAAAGTCCTGGAACATCATATTTTATGTTATGAAATCAATATATTTGTGTGAAAAACAATTTATTAGTAAATTTTTTTATTTTTTTCAATAAAATAAGTGTTTATAACAATTTTAAAGATAATAGGTACATGCACATACATGATAAAAGTTCAATATTTAATGGAAGCATAGTTGTTGTCAATTACCATTTGGATACGTTTTGGCATGCTGTTAACAAGTTTTGTACAATAGTCTGGTGTAATTTCATGGATCCACACTGATTTGATTGCTTCAACTAAATCATTATAGGATCTAGGCTTTTTGGCAGCAACTTTTACTTTCATAATCTGAATTTTCAATAAAATTAAGATCTGGTGATGACCCAGGCCAATTTTCAAGGGTTTGAATTCCTTCATCAGCAAACCACTTCTTTACAATTTTGGCTGTGTGGCATGGTGCACCATCCTGTTGGAAATAAGTGCAGTTCAAGATCTGCATGAAAGGTGGCAACTTCTCCTTCATAACATCCAAATAGACTTTGCTGTTTATTGTGGTATTCTTGGGCATTATCCATAATGGCCCACGTCCTTTGGCAGAAATAGTACCCCAAACCATACAAGCCTTGACACTGCTAACTGTATATTTTGGCATATATCTACAGTTTTTTGGTCTTCTTACAAAGTTGTTTGTAACATTAAATTGTTTAATACATGTTTCATCGGAAAAAAGAACTTTAGACCAATTTTTTCCAGTCCAATTTTTGTAGCGCTGACAAAATGTTTTTCGATCTTTTAGGTTTTTTAATGATAAAAAAGGTTTTTTTGCTGTCTTCCATGCCTTCATTTTGAAATCAACCAAAAGCCTTCTTCTAACTGTATTGTGATTAACTCATAAGATCAGTTGATTTGAATAATGATACTATATCTCCTATTTCATGAGAATGATTCTGTTAACTAAACTGTTGAGTTGTTTAAGAGTGAGTGTAGGTTAAGGACAGTCCTAGTCTTAAAGGGACTACCAAGACCCGAGACATGTTGAGTTCATATTGAAGAGAATGTTAAAAACAAAACGTCTGAGCTTTTTGATTAAAACTAATTAATAAATGTATACCAAGAAAAACAAATCTTGTTGTTTTAGTCGAAGCTCGTCTTCTCCATTTTCTGTGGTATTTTGAATATGTAAAATAAACACAATTTTCCAGGCGCATTACCCAGACTTGATAATTTATTCAAGCCCGTTTAATTTATAGAAGTTTCAGTACATGATGTCATTGGAAACATTCTAGAAATTCTTTAAAAATTTTACTTTAATTAACTTTCAAAATTTTGACAATTTAAAAAATATATATTATAAAACATTTATTTTTGTAAACAAATGATAATAATTTAAAAGATTTACGGGTTTGCAGATGTGGCTCCAAGAATGAGCCATAATAATATTTAAGTAATAGTTCATTTGATCATATATTCTTAAAAAAAATTATGCTAAATATCTCAAAGCGCAACAAATCGTGAGTAATACAATTCCTAAAACATTTCAACAGAATACTCTAGAACTTTATTTTGCTTATTCAGTGTATTTTTTGAACCAATAGAATTAGTTTTCTAAATTTGGCGGGTTTTTAGTGTTCGCAAATATTCTTTTTATTCTTCTGCATGATATTTTAAGAACATTCAAGTTAATTATGTTTCCATGGATGTCCGTAAAATAAAAATTAATATATATTAATTTTTTAATTTTTAAGCCCCTGCCATAATATATATTGGATGTTATAATAATGGAAATATAAATAATGAAATAAGATCACCTACCAAAAAATACATTTTTGAAAATCATAGAAAAAATGCTTTAATAATTTTTTAAAATATTTACAAAGTAAGTTAATAAAAGTGCATTATTATTTAGGTTAAAAACTGCTTTATCTAATATTTTGAAAGAAACACGTTTAACCAAAGAAATCAAAATACATGTGGTCTAGACGATTATTTAAAAAAATTTGCGCAAATAAAATATTATTTTGTTTTTTATTTTTTTACAAACACATTTTAGAACTTTAAAATATAATAAAAATGAATATGATTTGGAAATTGCATGTAAAAAATAAAAATCGGTGATTTAAACAAACAAAAAAAAAATCTATGACTATAATTGCACAACATGTCTCGGGACTTGGTAGTCCCTTTAACAAATATTCCACAGGAGGTAATTACAAAAACACTTCTTTTTGTATTTACGTAATTGCCTCTAAAGTATTTTTTCATTTATGTCATGCTGTTTTATTTGAACATAATATTATGATTTTAACATAATATTGTTAGCTTTGTTTTCTTAGGTAATTTTTTTTTAGTTAAAAGAAAAATGGTTCAAAATTTGCTTTTATTTTTTAAATTCTTCTTGATGCATAAAATAAAATTTTGCTATTATTTCTCAATTTAATAAATTTGTTGTCTAAATTATTAAAATAAAAGTTTTTTTATGTAAAGGTAATTATAGTGCTTGGAGTGATTGGAGTATATGTTCAGCATCATGTCAGCTTACTTCTCAAGATTTTCCAATTCAATCTCGCAGTAGGATTTGTGAAGGTGACACTTTAGGTGGGGGTTGTGTTGGCCCAAGTTATGAATTTTTGCCATGTAATAATAATATATCTTGTCCAGGTAACAATTTTTATTTCATTAATAAATAATTAAATCTAAAATAACACTATAATTGACAATTTTGATATAAATATATATATATTAGGTTAGAGCTTATTTTTGAACTTTTGAAATATGATCTTCTTACCCTCTTATTTTGTTCCTATATATGAAAAAATAATTCAGGCAAAATATGAAAACAATTAAACAATATTTAGGGGTAGCTCAATGATGATAAAGTTTCGGATACTCGACAGCTGCGGTTTGGCTGCACTTGATTTTTACATAATATTATTACTTATACCAGAATAATTCTCATGTTAAATTAAGAACTTAATTTTAACTACAAAGCTAAATTGCACTGTCCTAAATCATCATATACTCCACAATTATGGTCTATACTATCATATTTGATCATTGACCAACCAATGCAATCATGGCAAATGGAAATAACCCAGATTCAATTTTTTGCTGACTATGTAATTTTTACATAAATCAAAACATAATCCCAGACAGACAGGATCACTAGCGAGACAGACTTGTTTACTGCAATGCTGAGTTGCTGACTAAGCATCACTGTTAAAGCTGTATGCTTATTTTGTTTACTAAATAGAGGCATTGTTTTAGTTATTAAAATATAAATGGCAATTTAAGTTGAAATATTGTTTAAATAAATTTTCTTGATTTTCAAATTTAAAGAAGATTTCTATAATTTTGGTGTTGACTTTCCTCTCTCCAGTACCTGATTCTCATCAATTGGTAAATTAAAAGATTGATATATTAAAATACCTTAACTCTTTGTGTCTTGTGAGTGTAAAATTGTAAATAGTAAATATATTAATAATTAATTCTATGTTTTAATATGGACGTTAAACTGATAATGCTGATGAATGTAATGATGATGATGAGATAAATAAATGAACATAAATTATATGTAATATACAATATATTTTTAAAAATAATTAAATAAACCATACAATACATGTTAAAATTTCTGACCTTCTGAAACGCAAGTTTTCCAATCACTTGTGGTATTTGTCACAGGAACTTGTTAGCTTGGCTTTCTTCGACAGTCGGGTCAGTTCATCAACCAAGAGACTGATGGTGAGTGCAATGCAAAATGAAGAAGACCAAGATCAGGATCATTCGAAGCGTATCACTGTTGATCTTGATTCATTCGAGAACAAGAACTTAGAAGATTTTGTCACAGCAAAGTCAATGAATCTGCTCCGAATAATGGAAATGCCATATGGATTTCTAACAGTTGATCCGGACTTGTGGGAAGACAGAGATGACTACAAGTTGGCTTCAGAAACAGTCGAGTCTTTAAAAGTTGTAAATGACCACACTGAACGTGGAGTGGCCCTCATTCAAGAATACAGTGGATTTTTAACACGCGATGAAACGCAGCTGCAATTCCTGCTGCAAGTCATAGAAGACCATTGCAGAATTTACCCTGATAGCAGGAAACAAACTCTGTCTGGGCTGCCGAAACCATAATTTTAAAACAATAATTCCTGAGTTTGCTCTGGACATTGTCAGGCTGATACCCTAAATTGTAAAAACTGAGCTTAGAACTCATATTTAATGTGTTTAAAAATGTTAATTGTGTTGTTTAAAATATATAGATTAGACTCGTTTCTTGTATAATTTTTGTAATATTGGAGGCACTTGAGCTACCTCTAAAAACAATTATTTCTTAGCCAAACTTTTTTATGCAGTTTTTCTATGTTATATGGAACAGATTTAGGGGGTAAGACTTTAAAAAATACAAATTTTATTTTTTTTTTATTTTATAAGCTCCACCCTAATATATATATATATATATATATATATATATATATATATATATATATATATATATATATATATATATATATATATATATATATATATATATATATATATATATATATATATATATATATATATATATATATATAATTTAGTAAAAACACTTATCTAATTTTTGTGCTCTTCAACAGCATGTTTCACCATCAGGAAGAATGTCTTAACATCAAAAAAGTCAAATTATAAAAAAAATAGTTATTTCACAGGAAGTTGGAAATTTTTATAATTAATTATGTAATAACTGTAGTTATTTTGCAAGCATGAAGTTGATGCAACTACATTAGATAATTAAAAAATTATGAAAAGAATTCTTTAGAAATAGGATAATTTTAGACTGGTCATTTGTTTTTATAATTTTTTAAAAGGAACTTATTTTCATGTCTGCATTTAGAAATTAATTCAGATTTTTTATTCAGTAAATTTTCTTGATTTAAATTATTAATAATTTCAATTTTTTCTTGTAAACATAGTATACATTTTTTGGAAATGTTATTATAAACAGGCGCAGTTTTTAGAATAGACCAGTTTAATTTAAATTTAGTATTTTTTTTCTTTTAGTTGCCAAATATATTTTGACAGCATAGTCTGAGTTTTTTTTATGTTTAAAAGATTGTTTGCGGTCGGCTTAACGTTTTTTCCATTTGCCCTTGGTTAAGCTAATGTATTGTTTATCGGGGTTGTTTTGTGAGGAAACAATGCATTTGTAAATAATATTTTATGATAAGCATTTACTATTCATAGGGCAGTGGATTTTTTGCCTAGAGTTACAATTATCAATATCTTTTTCTCTAAGAAATTTATTTTTATTAATTAATGCAAAATTATTGCCTTTTATAATTCTTTCAATATTTTTTGTACAGCTATAGCTTACTTTTATAATGTTTCTGTTAAAAATTTTGTGCAATTTATTAGAGGGAGGGAAATGTTTGTCTACTAATTTTTATAAACTCTTTTCCAATGTTTGTTGAAACATTTTTGCTGTATGGAGGGTTGAACCAAATAATATTTCTATTTCACTTTTTTGCAGTTTTTGTTTCAAATTTTAGCTCGAAGTTTTTAAATCTACTTTTTTTAAGAGCATCTTTATACACGCGTTTTGAAGAGTTAAAAATATTTTCATTAGAAGAGTTTTGATTTAGTTATAGTTAGAAATGAAATTAAAAATAAGAAATTAAAATTAATTAAATGAAAGTTTTAAAACCTACCTAATATTTTCTTCCAATATCTTCAACTTTTTTATGTAATGAAAAATCTTGAAATCAAATGTAAAATGTTTGTTTTTAGTTTATATGTTTATTTGCAATCAATTCAGTGTTTGATATTTTGGCAAACACAATAATCTTAAATATTTTTGTTAAAAATTTTTTTTTCATTTAGGTGTTTTGAGTAGTTGGAATACATGGGGAGTATGTTCACAAAGCTGTCATCAAAGTTATGATTTACCTATGCAAAGTAGAAGTCGTTTATGTGAAGCCTCTAGTTTTGGTGGAAATTGTTATGGATCTTTACTCATAGAAACACGTAGTTGCAACATATTTGTAAACTGCCCAGGTTAATGCTTTATTCTTTTGTTTTATTTTGATGTCAGAGTTTTATTAATTGTTTCAAGTTATCATAATAGATTTGCATTATTTAGTTTAATAGTTAAAAGATATTTTTTAGGATTTAGCTGTGCAAATGCCAATTTTTTTATATCTGGTAGTCAGTGGACTGATCAGCTCTCCAATAAATCAAGTGTAGAATATCAAAATCTCTCAAATCAATTACTCAATCAGGTTATTTAACATTTTTAATTCTTTTATCATGATTCATAGAAATATGATATACAAAATGCATACAGAAATTTAAATTTAATATAAAAAATTCATTTTTATTTTAACAAAAAGTTGATTTTAAATAAACTTACAAAGAATAAAACTTAAATTATTACACAAAATAGATAAAGGTTTACTTCTGTGATAATATTACAGGCCTTGTTTTAAATAAAAAAGTGCTTAATGCATTAGCTTAATGGGATTTTGACGTCATAAAATTATCTTTATTTTTTTTTATAGACGTTAAGTGTTTTAATGACCGCAATAAATAAATAACCGCAAACTAGTTCAATTTAACAATTAACTCAAACAACTATAAACGTTTTTAATGTAAATTTATTATGAAAATTTTGTAATGTTTTCAATTGTTGTTTTATTATTAATTTTAGTTCAATATTATTTAGTAAAAAATATAAATGTATATATATTTTAATTTAATTCTGAAATTTGTTTTTATTAATGTTATTTTAAATTTAATTCTGAAATTTGTTTTTAAATAATTGTTTTTAATCATTATTGAATAAAAAATAATAATGGTTTTTTTTAATTTTATAAATTTCTAGAGTAAACAAAAAATATTAACATTGATAAACACAAACCCATGTTAATTATTTAAACAACGATTTTGTTTTGACTAGCAAAGAAAACTTTAGGTTTTTAAATATTTTTTAAATTTATCTTGCTTAGTGTTTCAACTTGCGTTTTATAAAAATATAAAAAGGTTTTGTCTGCTTTGAGCATATTTTTGATACACGCGTTCGCCAGGAATTTAATTCATATTTTTTATGTTATTGTGATAATATTTTACTTTTTAAACAAATCACAAAGAAACAGAGCTATAGAGAAAAATCGCTTTTAACGATTAAATCTTCTTTTTTTTTAAATTTTAGGAAATTAAAAAAAAAAAATTAAATTCAATTTAAAAGTCTTAATTATGCAAACTCTTTTGTTAATTATTCTTAAAACAAAAAAACAAATACTTCTACGCAAAACTTTAATCGTGCAAACTTATAAAAATACTCAACTGAAATAATTTAAGTATATTTAATAATTTGAATCGTATCTGTTTATAATAAACGTTCGTAAAAATTTGTTTATTAAAAATTAAGTTCTTTAACTTATAAACAAACTCAAAAGTATTTTCATTCTACGTATAATTACAAAACTCTTTTTTTTTTTCGTTTGTAAGCAATTTAACTTAATAAAATAAAAAAAGAATAAATATAGAGGTAATCTTTGTTAAGAACAAATTTAATTTATTTATTTTTAATTATATATCAACTTAATTAAAATATAGTAATATGTTAAAATATTTTAACATGACTTGTGTTATTTATAAACCGTTGGGCAGTTGCCCTTACGGCACCATTGTTTTTGGATAATATTTTATTTTGATGAAGATCACATAACTTACATTTGATTTTAATAACGTAAGTCTTCTCTTTTTCTGTGATAATCGCATCGGCAAAGCATCGGCAAAGTCCCAAGATTTAAAAGTTTTTAAAGTAAATCTTTTGTCCTTCAAAATATAATCCATATTCGAACTTTAAACAATTTAGAGATAATAGAAATATACAAGGTTTTTATATACTAGTTTGTTTTGTTTTATAAAGAAAAATACATATTCATTAGTAAAAAATGGAGACTGTCATTAAACTAAAACGTGCCTTAGTATTTATTTAACGGAACCTGTAAGGTGCGCGTGCATAATAAAACCTCCGTTATATAAATATATTCAACGTAATATTAGTGTCATCAGCGGATGTTGTAGTCTACTCATGATTTCTTTACCTTATAATATAACTTGATTTATGAAAAAAAAAACTTATTGAATCGCACACAGAAGAAATTTAACAAATTGTCTTCATTCAAATATTGCGAGTAACAGGTAATTTTTTTTTTCTGTGCCGACCCCCTCCCCCCGCATAACTTAAAGGTAAAGGTATCTATATACCTTTAACTAATAAGAAAAGCAAAGACATTTTTTTTAATATCTCGAAAAAATGTCTTGATATTTTTGTTATCATGATAACAAAAATATTAAAAAAATAAAGACATTTTTTGAGATATTCAAAAAAATGTTAATTCTTAATTACAAATTTTTTTTTGCAATGTTTTTTATTATTAATTCAGTAAAAAATTCTTAAAAAATCTATATTACAAAAAACATTTATATTCTGTATTAATAAATATGGAATATAGATTTTTTTAAAGTTTTTTACTGAAAACTTTAAAACTAACTTTTACTACTTTTTATTAAAAACATTGCAAAAAATTTGTAGTTAAGGATTGACAAACAATTTTTCATGTTGCTAAATATTTGGATAAAAAGTTTAGCGTCAAATTAATTGCTATAAAAAGGAAAGATATATCGCGATGAAAAGTTACAACAATTATTTTTTATTATTTAAGTAAATTCTTTTTTTTAATAAATATCTTTACATATCGTTATTTAAAAGTTAATGTGGTTTTTTTAAAAATTAATTACTTCTTTTATGTTACCGCTAATTTAAAAATTAAAAAATGATAAAAAGTAGCTTAACCAAAACAGCTCTAGGCGTACGTAAAAATTGCTCTAGGCGTAACGCTTTAAAACAAGGCCTGATATTAGAAATAAAAAAATTTTATTAAAACAATTAAAAACAAAGTCAAGTAATTAAAGGTTTTTTGCGTCCTGGATTTTTTTATGGACGTTTCTGTTTTAAACTGAAAGGTATAGTTAATATAAAAAAGCTGTAATTATTATTTGACTGGATGATGTCAACAAGTTAAATTTTGGTATAAATAAATCTAGATGATGACAACTGCTCTTTATATTTTCTGTCTAAAGCTATATACAACATTTAGCTGTATTCTGTAAACTTTTTTCTCTGTGCAGTGTTCTAGTTTTTCAAGTCTCGTTTTTTAGATCTATAGGATAGAGAGGTGATGAGAGCTTCCTCCTCCCCCATCATGCACTTCTTTTTAATTCTGTTAAATGTGCTGCATTAATTATGAAAAATCTTTTTTAAGATCATCATAAGCTTGATTGACCTGTCATCAAGGAACTAGAAGATTACTGAGGTAAACAAAATAATCATACTTCACATTATTGATAATTAAGTGGAGAAGCATCACAATCTAAACTTTTTTTTTTTTTTACTTCTAGAAAATAGATAAGTTTATGTAGTATATTTCACTTAAAATTACATAGATTATATCTGATGCATGTTCTCCCCAATACCAAAGACATGTTGAAGTTTTTATTTGTAGAGTTTAAGGAAATTGTTGCTAGCAATTATCATGCTTAACCTAATTATTAATTAAATCGTGTATGTGTTTTATAACAAAATAAGCTTCTATATAACAAGCTTGCTTACAAGATTTAAACAACTGACTTGATAATAAGTTTCAATGGGTTTTGTATGAAATTTGTTGTGAGTTTATATTTCTCTAAAAAAAAAATATATAGAATCTTTATATGTGTAATTAAATTTCACAACTGTAAATAAAATTAACAAAAAATATTAAACTATTTAATTAAATTATCAAATTATAACCAATTTAAGTTATTGAATTAAAATATAACATTAATATATAAAAATATATTTGAATAATCTGGTAAGAATATAATAATTAATTTTGGCTAACAATATTTGGTTTACTTTATTTAGTTTCAAAAAAAATTTACTTCAGAAAAGTTTACAAATGAACTATATTTTCAAGATGTTCAATTTTATAGGTAATTTTGTTTTTTATATAGTTAACTATGTATTATGATGTATACAATAAAATTATAATTAGCTTAAAGTGCACTTTAATTAGTAATTTTTTTAAATTGTTTTTTTCAATTAAATATTTTTTCTTATTAGTTATATTTTTTTTTTCAAGTTATGTAAATTTTTTTTTTTTTTTTACAATTTAGCAGATAAAAAAAAATTGCTTATGCCTCGTTTTAAAGATTGTTTTAAAAAATTATTTTATGGTGCATTGTTTATCACACCATGAAATAATTTTTTAGATAAGCATTCTCTTTGGGTTTTCACTTTATCTAACCAATTAATTTTAAACAACTTTGTTCGTTCAATGGAAAATTTGATTAACAAAGGACTATAAAAGTTTTTACTCCTTAATTATTTGTTGGTAATATATGTTTGTAAACAAGAAAATGAAGTTTTATTTTGTAAACAAGAAAATGAAGTTTTATTTGTTTATTTGAATATGAATATTATTTTGAAGATGTCAAAAAAACTGTCAGGTGCTCAGAGAAGAAAATTAGCAAAGGACTCTGAAGCAGCCAATAAATCTATTTTAATTAAAGTACCAAAGCCAGTGTATTCATCACAATCTTGTGAATCAAACATTTTATGTGATAAAAATTCCTTAAAAACATGCAGTGAGACCTTGACTCAGTCTAAATCTAACCAAGAGAAAGATGTGAGTAACCGTCTTTTGTGTAATTCAACTTCTTCAGCTATTTTTGCCAACTTTTCACAAACTTTAAACTCGGATATTTGTAGCCAAAAATCACAGGAAAAGTGCAATAAGGAAAATCAAAAAACATCATTTTTGATAAAAAAAACTGTCAAAAATCACAAGAATCATCAAAGAGCTTCAATTTAAAGACTATGATAGTTGAAATAGATGATATCACTTCCCATGACAGTTGCACCAGGCAGTTTTTTT